GCACCAGCAGGGGCCTTCTTGTGGCTGGCAGGGTTGCGAGGGACAGGAGATCCTCCATCAGAGGAGTCTGTGTCGTGCCGCTGCCTTCGATGATGGGGGTTGGAGCGCTGTTGCTCGGCCTTTGCTCCCCCCCTTGAGTGGCTGTCATGGGGTCTGGCTCCGCTCTGACTAACGTATGATGGATTATGATGATGGTGGTCCTTTCTGTGCCTAAAAAGTACAAGGAAACAAATAGTGTTGGGATTAATGCTGTGAGGGTATGGAAGAATAAACGGCACCTGCAAGTGGAAATAACTGGCTGTTTTTTTGTTTGATAAAATTGTGTTCAAGTTTATTGTTATTCTTTTCCTATCGCACAAGTTACTGAAGCACATAAATAACAATGTTTAATCTGCCTCTTCAATTGAAATATAAAGAAAGTCTTGTGACGCATGCACCCCATATATAAGACAACAAGTGAAGTTGTTGTATGTAAGACAGTGCCTCACTGCCCTCTAGTGCTGACACAACAATTTGGCTCCCAACAAAAAGACTGCAATGTAATTTAAAAATATAAACAGGGCTGCACATAAGTGGTTCGCTATCAAAATAAAAGATGCGCACCAGATAAGAAGTTGTAACGCACGTTTGCGTACATAAGATGTTCTCGAGGAAGACAGACATTTGTTTAGAACTCTTAAAGATGTCAAAGAAGCAAGCTCCGTAAGCAAATACTTTGGTGTTCCTCCACCGCAAAAGAAGCACATATTCCAGGATAATCCGAGAATACGCACTTCTTTTGCTTTCTTAATGTAAAACTCGTTCACCTACACACCTACTTGAGGAAGTGCTTTTTTTTTTCATGCCTAAGCACTTTTAACCTAATACGCACACGCTCACATTCCAATGGATGCATTGAGGGCAGACTGGCGTTCTTTGCCCAAAGATACTTCCAATTAGAAGTGGGAGCAGCCAGGGATTGATCTACCTCCACAGCCCCCGTCTTTACAAACACAATTCTAAAAACATATTTTGAGTTTGGTCCAGACTCATGCTGAATAATGTTTGAACATTAAATGCAGAAATAAACCAACCTCTTCCTGTTGTCCTCAGAATCGGAGGAGGATGAGTCTCTCCTTTTTCGTTTTTTCTTTTTTTCCTTTTTCTTTTTCTCCTTTTTGTTCTTTTTTTCTTTGTTTTTCTTATTACTGTCATGCCTTCAGAGAGGGAAATGAAAGTAGTGAAGATTACATTTCAACAAATTACATTATTTTTTAATTTCAAATGTATTATTATCAGTATTATTATTATTTATGCATTCTCATTCATTTGTTCACTGGCTATTATTAAAAGAAAACTTAAGAAACTGGACACAGGGTCAGATTTTGTCCAGTAAATCAAAAAGTTTGTGTGTCTGAAACATTTTACAAGTAGTAATTATCCAGTCTCACCTCTGTTCCTCCACCTGTTTTACTGCACTCTCATTTGTTTTTGCTGCTGAAGCTTCTGTATGACCTTCAGTCCTGACGTGCTGGACAAAAAGCATTTCTTAATTTTTGCACAGAGTGTAAAATGCCTCAAAGCAGAGTAATGTCTAAGCACCACTACCCCAAAAAAGGTAATAACACAATCTTACTGTAAAAACCGGCAAGCCCATTTTAGCAACCTCCTTTTCTTTTTGGGACAGGACCATTCTCCGAGACCCTGCACTGCAGAAGGAAACATTGAAAACACAATAAGACACTTTAGAATCAAAACATTGAGAAAAG